TGCTAGTCCACCGGATCTTGCCATGTCAGCGGCGGCCTCTTCGTATGTGGGAGTTTGACCCAGAAGGGCGGCGGACTCTACAGCACTTCTTCGGCACTATGCATGGAGGAATGTGGAAATTATATTTCGGGGAACAAGAGCAATGGACGGACACCACCGAAGATGTTGGTCTCGACTGCAATCATCCGGACACTTCGGTAAGTACTCGATATCCGACCACCTTCTGTTCAGGCATCTCTTAACAAGATACTGAACAATCCGTCCCTGTACAGGACTGGATAAACAAAACGGTGCTAATCTAGTGTCCGGCGCCTCTTCCCAAAGGCCCTGCGACCGACCTGCGGACGAGAATGTTGATTCCGACACCGTATCAGGTGGCTGCATTCGGGGAAACCGAAATCCCTTTGCCCAAGGGCAAGAGTGCAGAGGGGGGCCTCCAGGGAAAGAAGAGGGTTGCCTCCGAAGATCAGGAGGAGAATCCTTCTAAGAGAGGAAAAACTCCATCGTCGAGCGGCTTGGGCCAGGCGAGCAAGGCTGCCGTAGAGTTCGATGACAAGGATGAACCTCGAGGCAGACAGTAAGCGAGGCTGGGTTACTTTGAACGCACCTCATTCTTTTCCTATTAGTGAAGTAATCATCCGATGTACGTTCGTCCATGCAGGTTAACGCCTAGTGCTTCCCAATCATCCTCCTCCTCGGGAGATCTTCTTCCGGAGATGATGGAGAGTGTCACGCCTCCTCCAGCCACATCGCCCAACAGGGGAGATGATACCGAGGTATCGTCCCGACGGGCTCCTCCTTAACACCAATTAGTACAGGAAGCGAAGAAGGTGTTACCTGAAGGCAGTGCCTCTGTCACTCGGGGCTCCTGGATCAAGACTGGCGTCCCCGAACCGTCCGGTTTACAGCCGGAGATGATTCTGGAGGCATGTGAGCGGGTTCCTTCTCAGGAATGTCATACTCCGGCGACGATTTCCGAAGACCCGGAAGCGCCGGACATGCTGACGGGCTTGCTATGACGAGCATCCATTTCAGAAGAGCATCGTACCTTGATGGCTACGGTGGTCAAAAGGGTTCTATCCATGAAGAGTGGATTGAACGAGGCCTTCACGAGCCTTCTAAGAGGTTTTGAGGTTTGTGATATAGTTTTGTCAATTGAATTTTATTGACAGAATGCACCTGTTGTATATGCAGTAGCACCTGTCATCATCTAAGATAGTATACGGCCTGCAAATTCACTACGAGACTCGGACAGTACAGTCAGCTACAAGACGGAGTCCGACTGGAAGGTAAAGATGACCTCGTAAAGCATTCAAGATGTCCTTGTTTGGAAAAGTGGTCAACACGAGAATTGTTTGTCTCATCAAGGCGTGCATATTTGATATTTGGGCCATCTTCATCGGAAGTCATATGCAAATTCGATGGCCCGCGCAAGGAGCAAGACAGGAGTTTGGGCCAGATTCAGACTGAATCCGAGTTAGAGTAGAACTAGGACTCTAGGACGTGAATCGCGCCCTGACGGGGTCCCTCCCGGGCGTGCGGGGTTTCGGGTCTCAAAAGCACCCGCCGATTGTCCTGCGTATCGCACTGTCGGTCGGGTCTCCTTCGACGCGAGCTGTGGTGCATCACCCCCGGCGTCGAGGGTACACGTGACGTGTTCGTGTGTCAACAGAAACTTTAGCCCAAAAAGATGTTCTAATGAGTATAAATCTCAAGCAACCACAAAACAGTCGAGGAGCTTCTTGTGATCATAACTCATCTACATCAAAAAGAAACAAGTCGGCTCATAGTGAACCAAATTCAAACATATTGTGCCGGCCAAAGAAAAAACAGAATGGCCAGGACTTAAAATTCAGATCTTCTTGTGATCATAACCTGTCTACATGAAAAACAAACGGGCCGACGCATAGTGGACCTAATCCATACACATTGCGCCCATCGAATTTAGAAAAGAGCATGCTGGAACTTTCAGAATCAAAAGGGGAGCACAATATGAGAGCTGAGCCTGACAATGATATCCTTATCAGTACAAGTTTCATTTCTGGAGTTTATCTTAAGATCAAACACCAGATGCAACATTGATTCCTTAGTGTGGTTAGCAACTAAAGTGAAGTGATTAATACAAATACCTAACGATGCAAGGCAAAGGCAGAACTATAGAAGTATGTTTCAATACCTAACCAGAGATAATGGAATCATGAATAAGAATGGATTGCAAACAGAACATTTCATGAAAATTTTGCTTATAACGCAATCTTTCAATTAAACTAATTATGTGTGCTCTTATAAAAAAATTGGTGCTGAGGATAATCAGACTCCGTCCATCATCAGCTTAAACACAAAATACAACAGGAAACTATCTAGAATAAAGAGCTCAATAAATGACAAGTCAATTCTTTAGGTCAATAAACAAATCTATAAAGCATACACAGATAAACAATATATAAAGGGGGGAAAGTAATCCATTATTGAGTTCAAGAAAACACGAGTCAAATCAATTGGCAAACATTTTAAAGGTTGACCCAAATGACTTGTAATTTTAGCATCAACACTCACAGCAGCCACTTCAACACAAGAGGATATTCAATAAATATATATAACACAAAGCATACATCTGACAATCATAGCTTCCTAATCATACTTCTTTTATACATCAACAAAGAAGGTTAATAGTGGATCTAGTTAACACATACTACATCTCATGTGGATACGGAGAGCTAGGCCGATAAGAAGCACCACAACACTCAACAGCCCTCTAAGATAAAAAGGCCAAGTATGCTGACAACATATGCAGCTCATGTGGGTACGGAGAGCTAGGCCGATAAGAAGCACCACCACACTCAACAGCCCTCTAAGTGTTGACAGCATATTCATAATCGTCAGGTCAGATGAAAGGCGGAGCGTTGACAACATAACTTACCTCTAGTGTCGGAAAGAAGGTATGTTGAACAAGAGTTTGCTTGAGCAAATAAGGAGTGAAATTGATGCCTCTGGGATGGAAACTGGCAATCAACTTGCCATTGACATCAACCTGAAACAACCAGTCGTCAGTCGTCACACCTGATCAAAATGAGCAACCCATCATCCCCAGGCAGAACTAACACATAGTGGTCACTGTAGGGACACTGACACTGCTGGCTGATCTCCGCAATGACCAATTCAACCCGACACTTGAAATCCCAGACCTCGCCTTGGTGGTTCTGCTGCATCACCCAGATATCAATGGCTGTCATTGGATAATCAGGACATGAGAAGGCAAGCATGTCACCCATCTCAAACAGTTCACCGTCACCCGGGGCGCAGATGAGGTGATGCGGGAGGCAGATGAACCGGCACGATCTCCTCATCGTTGGTGTCGAATACCCCTATGAGACCATCTGTGTACCATATGCTACCTTGAAACAGGAGTCCGTGGTAATGTCCGAATCCGGCGAGACGAGGGCACCCTATGTGCCTCGGCGGCGGCTGGCCGGAGCCTAATGTGAAAACGTAGATGGAGGCCTGTCGGTGCAGCAACAGTCGGTACTCACAAACACATCAAAAGGTAGTGTTTTTTGAGGGAGTGCTGATGCAATTTTACTACTACAAAGTACAAACAGAATTCTGACAAACGTACATAGACGATGAAGGAATTTCACAAGCAATAACTAACCGTCTACGATTATGTGGCCATCACACCACCCAAATCATTGTGGGAATTGAACACAAGACCTCCTGTCTATCTCTTAAATGTAACAACCAAAGACTTATGCACCTTTCATATTTACTAATCCCAACTCACTCTAAATATACGAGTGGCAGTCATCATGTTTATTTATTTATTTTGCGAGAAAAGGAGTTGATATTAAAACGGCCAAATTACTGAAAGGTCCACACAGAAAAGGAAATTACAACCAAGCCCCTCTGCAACCCGACTACGCCGGCGCCGTGGACGAGCCGGTGACGCGTCATTTGCCGCTGCTCGCTGACGCCTTGGATCGAAGCAGCCCCCGGGCAAAACGGGAAGTCTCCGATCAACGGTCCCTGAGAACCTACACCCATGGATATAGGTATTTTTGGTTTGATTTAGTCCTTTTCGTTTGGCTAAGCGACCTGGGCCAGGTATTTGTATGTTGATGGGCCTTTTATGAGCTTTCAAAGAGACCGTGAAAAAATAATTGGGTCAAAATAAATCAACATTGTTGGAACTGAACACATGACCTCATATCCGGATCTTCAACGTAACAACCAATGACCTATGCACGATTCACATTTACTAATCCCAACTCGCTCTCTAAATATAGAGTGGCAGTCCTGATGTTTAGGGCGAGCTAATTAAGCGAACGAGCTAATTAAAGAAAGGATTGTGGGTTTAAATAAAATATTTAAACGAATGTGACTAACTAAAAAACAATATGGGTAAACAGGTGGAATAATTAAAAGAAAGATTGTGGTCTTAATAAATAGAATATTCAAATAGATGAGGCTAATTAAAGGAAGCACTTGAGGTAAAAGGGTGGGATAATTGAAAGGAAGGGCTGCTAAATTAGAAAATGAAGGATTTGATTCCCAACTAAAACGGATGAGGACGTCATGGTAATTAAAGGAAAGGTTATACTTAAATAAAATCAGTAAGAGATGGCTAAATTGCAACGTCTTTTTTATTGTTCATTTTGTAGAAGGATATTGCATTGCAATATGTTCTTCATAGTGAATCCGGTGTGTGGGACATTATGCCGACACAAACCATCATTTTTTTCCATTACAACGCACGGGCATATATATAACGGAATAATTATGAGCCCGTGTATATTATATATAAAGAATGTTTTACATATGGATGATATATACTATATCTCATCCATATATGATTTACAGATGATTATCGATGTCTCTCTCCGAAACAAATTACTGTACGTAATTAATTAATTAATAAGCTAGCCATGCATGCATGGACGCAAGAATTGATGATTATCGATCAAAATCGCGGGCCGCCACAATCTTATGATCACGTACGTGCACTAGTAGCCACCGGCAGCGGCGGCGGGAGTGGCGGTTGCTGCTGCTGCTTCGGCGGCGGGAGCTTTGTAGCCACCGGCAGCGGCAGCGGGAGTGGGAGTGGTGGTTGCTGCTGCTGCTTCGGCGGCGGGAGCTTTGTAGCCACCGGCAGCGGCGGCGGGAGTGGGAGTGGTGGTTGCTGCTGCTGCTTCGGCGGCGGGAGTGGGAGTGGTGGTTGCTGCTGCTGCTTCGGCGGCGGGAGTGGGAGTGGCGGTTGCTGCTTCTGCGGCGGGAGCTTTG